AATGGATTCTGGTTTTATGAAGAAGAATCTCAAATGCATTTCATGATCATACTGTTGGACTTTGACAGGAACCACATGGACCTGTCTTTGACTTGAGAGTATTAAGCAGGAATCCAAAAGGTGGAGCTCCTGCCTTTCAGGGAATTACCACATTAAGCAATGGCTGGACTTCCTGGGATGGATGTTGGAATGATCATTTTAATGGATAATAGTTATTGAATACTGACCTGTGCTATGGCACCTCATGTACATAAACTATTTTGGTTGTTTTTGCTATGTGACTACTGGTAAACTGCTTAATTTCTCTGGGTACCACTTCTTCCATCTATAAGTGATCTCTTAAAGTCTTTTGGAACCATGGAATTCTTTCTTCCTGTTGCAAGGAAGGGGCAGAAGAGCACCTCCTGTCATACAGTGGAAGCCCAAAGGGTAATTCTGTCACAGGTAAGGAGTTTCAAGACACTAGTGAGAATTTGCCCAGCTCCAGCACTTTCAGGCACGTAAGATGGCCAGAGCTGTGGCCAACCCTGCAGAGGCAAGATGACTGCCTGCCACCTATTGGGCCAGATGTTTGAGTTGCAGCCAGGTGTTAGGCAGCTTCCCTTAGGACTTTGCCTGCACAACAGTCACCTTCCTAGGCTTGAAACCTTGCAATAGCACTTGATCAGTTCCCCATCAGTTTATTTTTTCATCAAAGACAACTAGAACTGCAATTCACAGAAAGTTCAGAAGCTAGTTCTCAACAGGAGGTCATGTCCCCTGAATATTTTGCTAAGTAGTGTTTGGAAATGTTCATGGTTGTTTTAGAATGTCACTGTGACTGGGACGTGCCACTCGCGTTTAGTGGCCAGATTATGGGGACGCTAAATGTCCTGCGATGAGCAAAACAGCTCTTTGTAGTAAGAACTGTCCTGCCCCAAATGCCAAGAGAGCCCCTGTTGAAAAACACTCTTCAAGCAGTTGAGTGGGCAGATTCTTTCGGGACCCTCTTCTGATCATAAACACAAAAGTCACACAATTTAGCAGTTCTATGATGGTGACATGATCAGCTGTGATTTCACAGCAGCCCATGAGCCCTTGTCAGCTGGCCGTGCCCTTGCTCTTACGTGGTGCTGTGACCTTATGCATTTGGAAGGGGGCGCTTCCATGTTGGGTTCTCTGATCATTTTCCTTCTGTACTCTCTTTCACTTTCATGTCTTCATCGGCCGCCAGACCACACAACGTTTTCTAGGAATTATGGCACATTTGCCAAGATTTTGAAGCTCCTTGAAAAGAGCTAGTTTAGAATATTACGAGGAAACCTAGAAAAATAAACTCTCAAGGGGATACACTGTATTTTCAAATTCTCTGGGTCTCTGATGACATTTCTTCTTCTCTCCCAGCCTTTCAAGCCTTTTCCTTTTTTGTGGAAAGTTTTTATTTTTAAAATGGTTTGGACTCCTTCCCCTACTCCTTGCTTGTAAGGTCCAGATCCAAAAATTCAGATCTCTTGCTATAAAGAATGAATCCCAGGTGTGTTGTGCTTCTTGCCTTCGCAGATGGATTCTGGAAGAAGAAAAAGCTCATTTCCAGGAACTTGGAATGCAGTTTCTGATACAGCAGAGGCCAAAGAGGATGAGGAAAGAGAAAGAACCATTGAGAAGTGTAGTTTCACTTGGGAGGTGGAGAGAGATGCTAAGAAGTGTCACGAGAGAGAGGGTAGGAAGGAAATGGAAGCAGAGAGCATAGACTTTTGTGTCTCCCTTTTGGTCAAGGAATGAACAAAGAGAAACAAAGCAAATGGCAGATTCAAAGAGAGGGTCGGCTTCCAAAGAGCATTTTTTCTCATGTTTTTCTGTTTCTCTTTTATTGTGTAGGTCGAAAAGTGACCCTTAGAAGTGAACCACTGAGCAGCTCAGTACCTAGCTCTGTGCTAGGCTGGTAAGATGGAGTGATGTGAAGTCCAAAGGAGTGACAGAGACATAGACCTTGCTCTCAGGATGCCAATTTCCTGGTCTGGGAGACAATACTTATTTGGCTGCCTTCTGAAACGGGGGATATGACGAGACAGCTCCAACCTGGACTATTTTCATGTTTTCAGTAGCTGATTCGTGCAATAGGGATGTGGAGCTCTGGCTTCCTTCTTGTTGGTTGATTTACCATAGCTGCAGTGGTGGTATAAGCATGTTCACATCAATCATTTTATATACACATAGATATATGTACACATAAATTTATGTGTGTATATATTCATATGTATATACACACATTTATTATATATATATAGGTCTATATGTAATCATTTTATGTGTATGTATGTGTACACACATATACAAATATACATATAATTTTGTTTTATTTAGCAAAGATATTTTAGACCTCTTTCTCTCAAGGACCATTCACATTTTCTACTCTGCTCTTGTTGCCTTTTCATTGAAGTTCTTATTTTTACCTGTTTTCATAACCAATTTGTGAATCATTCTGAACGTCCTCCCAGGCTGAAGCAAACTGCAGCAGGCAGATGTTAACTCTTAGTTTAGAGTGAAGGGGTACGACATCGATGCCCTATACACACGACAGACTGTCCCAACCCCCTCAGTCACTAATTCACGTGGGAAAAAAAGGTTGGAGCTGGTTATGAAGTCAGACGATTCTCGATAATAGCTTTCATTTTTCTGTTCTTTCTACTGTAGAATTCTTGTCAGAAGGTTTTGGGAAAAGAAACGGAATTCCTGACTGAATGTCTATGACACAGAGAACAGGAGACACTCTAATTGCCAAATGGTTCTTTTCTATTTCTATTCACATTATATGTCTCCTTTCTGACACACTCATTCTGCTGGAAGCCACAGTAGCAACCCCGGGTTCATATCTTGGTAGCTTAGCTACCATACTGTGTCAGTTTTACTTCCGAAGGCTTCTAAGGTCTCCTGCTGCTTGTCTCACAGGAAAGGTGGCTTTGGCTTTTGTTGCCTCAATACCTGTTTGGTTTGAGTCAGGAGGCTTTGACAGTGTTTGCCTTTTATTGAGGTCTTTCCCCTGGTTGCATGTCAAATGACTCACGCATGGCCAGACTGGCTTCTCCTTGATGTCTGTGAGCAATGGTGGAGTTAGTCTTATGACCGGGGCTGGACTTAGACTCTGAAGTGGATCTCGACAGCTTTTTCCCGTTTCTTAATGAAGATGGGAAACGGATGGCAGGCCATCACCAGCCTGGCACCTCCTGCTCTACTATTTGTAGTCAGGCACTTTCTGCTACTGCCATTCTCAGAGCTGCTGTCCTACTAGTGACCCAATCTTTTCTTGTTCAGGCAATAAAAATCATATTTTCTGAGTCTTAAAATTACTATGACACCACTCTTACTTCAGTCACCTTCTTGAGAGGGCCTTCCTGCTTCCTAAGGTATTAGTTTGGTAGGGCCGCTATAACAAATAACGACAGAAAGGGAAGCTTAAACAACAGAAGTTTATTTTTTCACAATTCTGGAGGCTAGAGTTCCAGTCCAAGATCAAGGTGTCAGCAGGGTTGGTTTCTTCTAAGGCTTCTCTCTTTGGCTTGTAGACCACCATCGTCTCCCTGTGTCTTCACATGGTCTTTTCTCTGTTTGTCTTTATCCTAATCTCCTTTTCTTATAGACACTGGTCATATTGGATTAGGGCCCCTCCCAATACCTCGTTTTAACTTAATTACCCATCTCCAAATATAATCACATTCCGCAGTATTGGGAATTAAGACTTCTACAAATGATTTTTTTTTTTTTTTTTTTTTTTTTTGGGGTGGGGGTTTTTTTTTTTTTTTTTTTTTTTTTTTTTTGGTGGTAGGAGGGTATACAATTCACTCCACAACACTAAGATTTTACTCAAAACTTCTAGATTTATTGTGTCCTCCCTCTTCGCAGTTGCCTGGCATTGAGTATCTGTAGGTACTATGGAGGTGGGGTGGGAAATGGCTCATCTTAAGCCTGGTATAAACCACCTTAATAGTTGAAAGGGTTTGAGAGATGGCTGGACTCAAGATTTCTGAACCCTGTCCCACCAAGGCCACTTTGGCTTGTTCCCTGGAAGGGATCACCAAAGCCCAGACTTCTGAGGCATACCTGTTTTCTAGCTGAGGGTTTGGCCCTAAACCCCAGTGGGGAACACCAGTACTGGTGCAATGGGCTGGACCTAGCTATGTGGAGTGCAGCAGGGAGGGGCTAGACTAGCCTATACCAGACAAGTTTTGAGTGCTAAAGTATTTTAATGAGTGCTAAAGTATTTATATTCTTTGCTAAGTATTTATATTCTTTAGAAAAGAAAAAAGAATTTTAAAACCTACCATCTACTATTTTATTAACACTCAAAATGTAGGAAGGATGTAATCTTAAACAACAGTCATTTGCATGGAAATAATTTAGCTTTACAAATATCACACTCTTTGTTGATTTTCTCATTCTGCCGTGAACCAGGGACTTTGTTACAGGGAGTTAATATTTGAGCTTAGCTTTGAAGGTGAACAGGAAGAAGGTCAGTGTGGGACTAGAAAAAAATTCACAGAAAAGGATGAAGTCAAGAATGTTATGGAAAGAACATAAGCTTTGGAGGTAGACACAGATGGTTTGGAATGCTGGTTCCAATATATATTTTGTATAACCTTGAGAAACAAACATAAACTCACGGTGTGGCACCTCTGTAGCTTCCATATCTGGGTAATGGGGTGTTAATCTGCTTTAGTGGTTTTGAGGACAAAATAATAAGGTAGCCCTTATTAATATTAGAAGACCACGTGCTGGTCTCTCCCAAATTCTGCAATCTTAGAATTATCTTCACAGTTTTCTTTCTTTTTACTAAAGTTGTCTCAGATACACAAATGATGGTCATTAAAATGCTGCCAGTCTTTAGAAGCTGTGCTTACGTAGCTATATGAAGTGTATGTAGCTTTCTGGGTTCCCAGTATGCATTCCAGGCAGTTAGAATCAGAATCAAGTAGCAGCTACGGACCTGTGGCCGTAATACCATAAATATGGACCCATTGATAGTCCTTTGAGATTAAATCCAATGCCAGAGATTGACCTCATTCTGCAATGGTTAGAAAGAAACAAGCCTGCGTCTTATTGTTAATGAGCTGAGATAAATTGACGTTATAACCAGAGAGGCTTAATGCAAGCTGAAAAATTTTTTTCGTTTTCCTTTCTTAACATACCATTTTTCCTTTTATTCTTCCCCTCCCATCTAAGTAAGAAATGTATCACATTTTTGGAAGGGTGTTTTGGGGTTTTTTTTTTTGTCTTGGATGAGAAGAGACTTTGAGTATGTTTGTTCCCAGAGCAGCAGGAGCTGAGAGAGGGAGAATAACAAATGGAGCAAGACCTTGGCAGGAATAGAAGTCAAGGGAATTTGGAGACAAATGGAGGGATCCCCATTCCTGCCACGTTACTGCCATTTTCCCACATTCATTCCCTAAGGGGAAAAAGTTGGCCTTCCAGCTATAGTAGAACCACACATGAATCATAGATTTTGCTAGCCAGAGTCCCGCAGATCCAGGTCCTCATCCCAGCTCGGCTGCGAGGAAGCTGGATCATATTAGAGAAATTAATTGCCTCTCTGAGCCTCAGTGTCTTCACATCTTCACAAAATACAGGGCATGCTAAGACCCTAATAGTGCATACAGGAAATACTCATATATAACAGCTCTCCTTACTACCAATGCACTGATATTGTATGTTAAATTCTCTTTCATCAGATAGAAAATCAAAATTAATATGCTGAATAATTCATCCAAATTATTGTATGTATATATTTATGACTGTAATGCATTGCATATGGATTTATACTTTGCTGGCAGTCTCATTTGAACATTTACAAAGAGCCAATGTAGCCTGAAAGTCGAGAGCCTGGATGCTGGATCCTCATTGCTCTCATGTGAATCCCACATTATTCTTTACAAGCTTGGGTCTTGGGCACATTGTTTAGGCTCTCTGTGCCTCAGATCCTTGATTAACAGAATGGGAATGATGATAATAGCACCTCTGTCAAAGGGCTGGGATGAGGATTGAATGTATTAATATTTGTAAAGTGCTTAGAATAGTGTCAGGCACATGATAAGCACTATAGTGTAGATATCCGTTAGAACGAAGAAGCCAAATTCATTTTGGCTGTTTCTTCAAATGATCTATAAGATCATACACATTTTCTAGGACCTGCTAATTGGAATTACAGTTTAAGCTTAAAGAATTAGCATCTTTGGTTCAAAACCTGAATAAAATTACATTCTAGTGTCAATTCTTAAGAAGTCTTCAATGAAAGGGATTCCTTAGGTAAGCACTCAGAGGTGCTAATGGGTTTACTAGGGTGGTCAGTTCTTGGAAATTTTGGTGACTCTCAAACGGGCACATCTTGAAACTGGCTTTGAACTTTTGATGGCTCACCCAGGTATGCAAATCCAGAACTAACTTTGACCAAGCACCCTGCAAGGCCAATGTGTGGAATAATCAAAACAGTGGCATTGTGGACAAAATCCTGGGGGCAGCAGAAAATTCAGAACACATTTCTGGTACTTTTTCATTGGAGAGAAAACCCCTAATTGTTCCTAAATGCGTTATATGTAGAACCTACCAAATCTGTTGGTAATAGGCAGGCCTTGTTTGCCTTCAGGTGGCATAGCCACCTTGTAAATTGTTCACAGCAAGTGTGTACGTGCCTGCCCTCCTATGGCCGGAGAGGAGTTGTGCTGGCCTAGCCCACAGCAGGAGCCTTCCTGCCTCAGCCTAGTTCCTGGTTCTGTCATGTGTCTTCTCCACCACCTGAGGCAGTCAGTCACCTTACTTCCCTCCCAGTTTCCTCATCTATAAAGTTGGCATGATCAGAGTGCCGCCTTGGAAGGCTCTTGTGAGGATTAAATATAATCAAAGATAAAGCATCGAGAATAGCGTCAGGCACCAAGTAAGGTCTCATTAAGTGTTAGTAATTACTACAAATTATATAAACAGTAAGCTGACTCATCTCTCATTACTATCTCTTGTCTGAGAGACAAAAATGGATGAAATTATTGCAGAGCACAAGTGAAAAAGTTGAGACTGAACCCTAGGTGCTTGTGCCCTGGTTTTCTCTATAAGCTCAGAATGTGAAAGAGGGCTGCTGGCATTGAGTGGTTGTCACTCAGATGAACCCCAGCTTTCTTCTCCTTCCTCCTTGAATATGTCTAACACCAAAAACTCTGTTTCAGGTGATCTGGGTGTCCACAGTGGGGAAGAACTCCAGCTCACCACCACTATCACTCATGTGGATGGACCCACCGAGATCTACAAGTTGACCCGCAAGGAGGCCCAGGAGTAGGTGGCTGCAGCACCTGGCTGGGACTGTCCCCCCACATCCCAGCCCCTCTAACTAGAGTGGGGAGCATGCCAGAGAGAGAGAGCTACGGTGTAAATGAGTGCTCCTGTCCCTTAGCTGTGGTTCCTTGGACCAGCGGCATGGACTTTGTCAGTGTGCCTTCTGACCACAGCTCTTGGAGGAAGATTCCTGCAGCCACCAATACATTGTGTATAATAGCAAAACCTCTGGTGTGACACATCTTCTGTGATCATTGTTAATTAGTGACATAGTAACATCTGTAGCAGGTGGTTAGTAAACCTCATGTGTTGGGGGTATACTCCTTGGGGGATCATTTGGGCCAGATGGGGTCTATATGGAGTGGAATATTTAACTCTTTTTCCTGTTTTAGATTCTAGGATAGATGTTAACATCCTTTGCAGTTCAAGATAGGCTGGTGTCATAGTCTTTTCATTCCTAGTTCATGACCACTTTTTTCCCCCTATTTATATCACCAAGTAGCCTATTGAGTTAATATTTAAGTTTCAATAGATATGCGTCCCTATTTTTTATGGCATAATATAAAATAACTGAATTTCATGAGAGGGTCTATTACACCAGGGGCATTTCAGCTTTGAAACCAAATCTGTATATCCAATACTAACCAGTCCGTTGGATGTGGGTTTTAAAAATGTTTGCTAAACTACCCAAGTAGGATTTATTGTATTAAATGGCCTTTGGGTCTGAAAAACTTTTTTAACCTCTTGCTTAAATTGTTTTTTCTTTTTATAAGATGCTTCAAACGGCCTCTGAAAGTGTAGATTCGCTCATTTAAATAAACTTGTATGTATATGCATATATGTATATGCAAACATCATCCTCCTGCTCAACCAGTAGACATGCACCCAGATTCTTTTCCATGTTGAGTTATGTGGGGTGGGGAGTGGGTGAGGGAAATGGCTTAATGATAAATTATAATATTTTGCCATCAAATTGAAGTGTTGGGGGCAGTATCTATTTCTGGAAATAGGGTAGTATATTCTGAACTGGATAGTTTACCTCCTTAGACTGGCGTTTGTGGCAACAAGGATGGGGCAGGGGAGTTACATGGTTTAGAAGCAGATTACTACACCCCCCTCAGTTTATTCCCACTTCCACAAATAGCCTGTTTGATTGTATTTTAACTGCCAGTAGAGAGGAAAAATGGTATAGCAGAGAAAAAAGAACACTGGATCTGAGGTTAGAAAGTAATTTTCTGTCAAAAGTCTATCATTTACTAGTGTGAACTTGTTGAAGCCACCTGACCTGGCTGGTCCCTCACCTACAAACTGGCATTCATAAACTTTAACTGCTTCACAGGGTTGCCATGCCAATTAAATCAGTTAATGTATGTGGAAATGAATTTTAAACTCTAAAGCCATGCAAATGTGTTCTTCCTGGACTCTAAAAACAATTTTATGAGCATCCTGTTTTTCAGACACTGACCGATGCCTGGAAGGCCTGGGTCACAGTCTGTTTAATTCACCCACTCAGCACCCCCCATCCTTTCTTTTCTTGGAATTTGGGTAAAAGCATGGTAAGCAAGGCCAGAAGGAAATACTTTGATTTTGTCTGTTCTCTCAGGCCTTTTCCTATCCTGGTGAACCTCTAATGGTATATGAACCAATTCATTAAGTACTGAGTTCCGATCAACCGCTGTGGTGCCAGGAATTAAAAGTAGCTTATGCCTCACAGTCTGAAAGGGAAGATGAACTTAAAATGTGGCAAATGATCTCATGTCCCAGATGATGAAGGGAGAGGTTCTCCTAAAGATGGGGAAAAGACCTGAGACAGGTCTAAAAGAGGAAATAAGACTTCACCAGGGCCAAAGGGCGAAGGGAACAGAAGTATAAAAATCAGGAAGTGAAGAACAAAGAATGTTTGCATAGGGTTGGTCATCAGGCTTGGCTGGCACATAGAAGGAATAGAAATAGCAGAATATAAGTCCCCTGTACCTGAGAGCCAGAATGAGAAGGTAGAAGCTGTAAGACTCAGCTAAGGGTTTTAGACGGAAGTGTTAAGCTCCGAATTACCACTGGATTGTGGAGAGGCTAGATAAGCCCAACAAAGAGATCACAAAAGCCGGAACCAGGGCAATAGTAGACGATGTGATGATGGGACTTGTTTTGGAGATAAAACTGATGCGGTTTCACCATTCCGAATGTGGGTCTCAAGTAAAAGCAGAGTCAAATTTCGAGATCTTGATGAGTGAGGGAATGATAGGGGCCCTGGAGAATTAGAGATTCCTGGAGAAGTGTGGGTAGTTCTATTTCTTACTACTTATTTCTATAAGTAGTAAAAGCCAATGCTAACAAGCTTAGCCAAAAGAGGGACTTTACTAGAATTTTTCTAGAGTATCTCCATGAATCCATAGGACAGTAGAATTAACCAGAAAGATTGGGAACGGGGACAGTTTTAAGGTACCTCAGCTCCAGGAACTCATGGATCTTTCTACAACCAGTCCAAGTCTTGTCTCTCTCACTTCAAAACTAGGAGAGAGTCCATGAGTGGTTCAACCTCAGGCAGGTGCCTGTCCCTGTGCCAATCAACTGTGATCAGGAAGTCAAGTTGAGTGGCTGCTAGCACTTTACCCTTGTGGATTGGGGTAGGTTTCCAAAGAATGGAGAATCTGTTTTGATCTGAGCAAATAATCGGAAAAAAAATCTACCACAATAGGCAAGATGACAGGTTTTGGATTTGCCTGGGCTGGGTTTTAAAAGCCATCTTCTGGAGGAATTGACAAGCTAACAATTAGAAATGAGAAGTTGAGCAGACCACTCAGAGCGGGAGGTTTGGCAACCGTTATCGTTGAGAATGAGAAGTACAGCTGGGCAGAGCATCAAAGCATCAGAAACCAAGGGTGACCACATTCAACAGCCGAGAGGAAGAAAATGAGGTAGATTACTCAGAAAAAATGTGAGGTATATGCCAAAGAAAGAATCAAATTCATGGAGGAAAAAATGTTAACTATCTTGAGAGATTCAGAAGCATTTAAAGATTGAATATAAAGCCAGCAAGATTTGGTGGTTTGAATGCTAAGACCTTTTCGAGTGGCAAGGGCAGCAGTTAGAGAGAGGTGGAGCAGTCAGTGGGTGGTAGTGATGGGAAGGAAGGAGGTAGAGTGCTGGCTCCGGGAGGAACCAGAGTAGAGGGAAGTCTTGCATTTTTGTCTGTGGAGAGAACAGTGCAGATTTGTAAACTTGAAGAGTGACAGCCAGCCAAGAAGTCAACAAGATGATGAGTAACATAAGCCCCAAGGAAAATACTCCAAGGAAGTTCAGAGATTTAGGATCAAGAAGACCAGTTGTGTTAGTTTTGAAAGTATAAAGGGACACTTTCATTCTGAGATGAGAGAGAAATAACATGGATATTGGAGGAGAAATTTGAGGTCAAAAGTAGAGAGATTGTAGCCTGTCCCTCTGTATTCTGTCTTCTCCACAAACGTGAAATGAGTGTTGGAGTTCTAAAGAGAAGTTCTCAGTTTCAAGAATGCAGGTTTAACATAGCCATTTTTAATCAATGGAAAGTTCAAGAAACTTCAAGAGGTGAGAAACAGTATTTATTAAGGATTATTAACCTAGACAAAAATATTAATTATTGGCCATGTATACCAGTTTTATAAATCATCCTAAATTTTTTCATGTAGCTTTGAGGACTATTATAGAAGAGATGTGTAAAATTTCCTAATTATCTGCTTTTTAAAAATAAGAAAATTCAGGAATATATTCAACAAGTAAAATACAATTGCTATTTCAAAGAGAAAACAAAAATCAGTTTATGTTGGTCAACCTATTGGGTGTGCACTAGGTGTTATTCCTTCATTTTCCCCTATAGGGGAAGAAAATGACCATAATGAGATAAGTGATTCTCCTATGACCTCCAGGTAGTTTTAACTGTTTCTCAGAACTGAAATAAAGCACTCCAATGATTCCAATGCCTGAGTCCTCCGGCCCAACTCAGAGCTAGTGGAGCCCTGGCAGGTACTTTTGAGAAAGTTGAAGGAAATTCAGAGGAGAGAATGGTTTGGGGTCTCATCCTCATCTTGGCAATTCTAGGAACTATTTTGTCAACTCTTTCAAATCAATCAGGCTTTGAGAGGCTGACTGGTCACATTGGGGAATCTCAATAAACTACAATTGCCATGCAGTCTTTTACAAAGCAGCATACACGTATCTTGTGGTTCCATCATCCCAGAAGGTCCTCCTATTTTTAGTTCACCAGAAGGTAACCGCAGAGGCTAAAAGAGGAACCTAGAAGAGGAACCTGGAAGAATGAGATAACATCTTAGCTGTGATGGAGCCTGAGGGATGATCCCTGCACCTCCAAAGAAAATACAGCTCCCTAAAGAGTGCAGAGCCCTGTGTGGGAATTCAACAGGGTGTGAGCACATGGACACACCTCGGCTCATTCCAATCTCTGCCTGACTTCTGTGGAAACATAAATTCTTCGGGACCCCCTTCTTTTTTTTTGATTCAAGCAGACTGCTCCATTTGCTGACATTCGTCATCAGGATACGTTAGTGCTGCTGATATGGCTTAACTTGCCAGGCCGAGTTGTCTGACTTTTGTGAATCTATACCTTTGTCCCCTGTATTTCAAGGTCCTTTCATCCAATGGTGCTACTGGAACCATTCTGGCGTCTGCAAGCCTGCTGTTGCCCATCGCATTTTGATATATGACTTATTTCGTTGTATAGGAGCATCGTGGTTTCTGAGACCACTTCAGCAGCACCTTTTCTCCTGACAACAGAGGGGTCTTCTCGGCACTCCTTGAACTCAGTGTCCAGGGCTTCCTGACTCTCTGACGACACACTTAGCTTCGGTTATTGATTCAGTATTGAGACCAGACCTTCTTTTGTGACTTTGACCCTCTTGTTCTGACCAAACTCCTTCCTACAGGTCCTGTCCCACTCAGGGCTGCTCTTCTTCAGGCTCATGGTTCAGTTCCTCAACCCTGTCTCCAGCCATGGTTTCCGGATTGTCCCCTTATGAATGACTGCTTGCCTGGCAACTGCATTCTAGTTCCTCAGTGCTCCAAAATATGATACTCAAACTGCGGTATTGCTCTGGCTGTCAGAGATTAGTGTGAAAATAACACTTCTACTAGGGCTCACATCCTAAGAAAATGGCACTAGATTTTTAAAAATGTCTACCTCTTACTTTTTTTGCCGCTTATGACCACATAGGTGACCACACAAACACTTCGAGTTTTAAAAATTAATATCCTTCCTTTGTATTCAGGAATATTTTTCAACTTAATCGTCGGACTTTACATGTATCACTGTGATCTTTCACTTTTCTCACGCACAGACTCAATAGGTAAAGCCCGTCTTTAACTTTTAAAATAAGCGCAGTTTGGAATACAAGTAAAAGTTGTTAAATCCTTTCCAAGTACAAAATGGATTGGTGTCAATTGCTGGAGAATTTATAAATATATGTTTACCTGAGATCAGAAAAGCCTCCCTCTGCCTGGACCTCTCTCCTTTGTCCAGTTGTGTACACACATGCACTCAAGCGCACACGCACGCATGAACATATGCATTTTTGTTAAACTCCTTTTTTATGTGTACGCGTTTTGTAATATGGAACTTTACAATCTTACATATTTACCCCCTAGGATCACCTCCCCATAGTCACATAGTGGGGATCCTACTTCACATAATAAAAAGTGAGGCTCAGAGAAGTGAAGAGATAAAGTTGGAACCAAGAAGAGAACTTCATTCTTCAAAACTCACTGTCTTTCAAGTGGCATATTTGCAGCAGAAGAGTTGAGAATTTTGTTTTGAGCTGCAGCTCTCATTAGAGCAGGATGACCTTATTGGGAGATGTTATCCCAGCCTAAAAAATATCTGC